CCTATACCACCTCCACAGCTGACTCTTAACTGTTAGCCATGTGCTAAAATGCAAGGTCTATAAAGACAGGGATATTGCACTTTGCTTTGTTACTGTATTTCCAGAGCCTGGGATACTTGGAACACTTTGGTATCAGGTATACTCTAAAGACATGCATGTTGAATAGATAAACAGATTATTTAATTAAAGATGCTTTGATAGGACCTCCATTTGGTAACATGTTGTTTGACATCTATTCCATGATTGCTCATAGAAGACGCTGTGAGGCTATTGCCTCCATCACTCCTGTTTTTCAAATATGACTCAAGGAACAAGCATCCTGTTCCTGCTCCAGGGTAAAATCTTGGTTGATCTAAACCAGGGAATCCCAACTTAACGTAGTTTGGCAGTCACAACAAGGAAGAGGGTGATGCTACTGACATCTAGTGGGTAGAGCTCAGAGATCCTGCTAGACATTCTACAATGCACAGGACTACCCCCCTACCCCCAACAAAAATTATCAGTCCAAAATATCAGTGATGCTGGGTATGAGAAACCCTGGTCTAAGCCAATCACGCTGGTCCCATTTCTCATGCAGTGAGTGGTCCAGGCCTGGTCATGTGAAGTAATTCTGGCCAATGAGACAAGAGCAGGAATCTACTAGGGGATTGTGGCAGAAATTGTTAATTACTTCTGCTTACTCATTTCCCCCATCTTTTCTGTATAGTAGTATTCCTCCACTGTTGGCTAGGCACATGCCCAACTATAGACTACACTTCCCAGCCTCACTTGCTGCAAGGTGTGGCAATGTGACTAAGTTTTGGCCAATGAGATGTAAAAAGAAATGAGTCTAATAAAGAGATCGCTGTTCTTTACTTTCCCTCTTTTCCTCTTTCTGTAGAAAGGGAGATGGTATTGGTGATCCAAGTTGAAGCAAGAGCAGGACTCCAGGAGATGGCAGAGAAACAAGAGAGAAAGATTTAGCCCTGACCAGTTTGGTTCAGTGGCTAGAGTGTTGGCCTGTGGACTGAAGAGTCCCAGGTTCGATTCCGGTCAAGGGCATGTACCTTGGTTGCGGGCACATCCCCAGTAGGGGGTGTGCAGGAGGCAGCTGACCCATGTTTCTCTCCCATGGATGTTTCTAACTCTCTATCCCTCTCTGTAAAAAATCAATACAAAATATTTTAAAAAAAAGAGAGAGAGAGAGAGAGAGAGAGAGAGAGAGAAAGATTTACACTGGGACTGGTAAAAGGAGAGGAAAACAAACATTTCTTGTTTGAGCCGCTGTATTTTCAAGTCTTTTGTTCAGCAGCTTAATTTGTACTCTAATATGGAGTGTTTCTGGCTGAGATTTTCCTCTCAGATAAAATGCACACACATAGGAAAGGACCATTTGTCCAAAGGATGTTGTGAGGTTTGTGTGGAATGTCTGGAACCACGGCTGCCACCGTGTAACCATGAGATGAGGAAGCCAGAGGGTCAAACTGACCTACTGAGCGAGAATGGCGTGGGGTGGTTGTAAAACACCTGAGTCTTTCTTGACATTGTTGAACCACTGAAGTAGCTAACTTTGCTTCCTCCCTACTTCAGGGCTTCTTTTAAAGCAAAACAACCTAGTAAATTTTCCATTTCGTTTTAGCCATTTAGAGGTGTGTGTTTTTAAAATTATAGCCCTATTCGGATTTCCTTTATGTACGCAAGCATAAAGATATTACATGTTATTATAAGTATGCTCAGACATTTTTTTGTTGTTGTTAAACTTTTTCTTCCTACTAATTTATATTGCCTTCCCTCCTGCTTCCTACTTCCTTCCACCAAGTTCATCTGAATCTGTGGGGTTTCTATACCTGAAATTAGTATGTTAGGGAAATGTATACTGTCCATCACTTGTGGAAATGAGGGTGTGGGGCAGCAGCTACAGGTCCCTGTAATGCTTTCTGCTTAGAAACTAGAAGCTAGCCCCTTTGGCAGGTGGAATGAAGTTGAATGGGAGGCTCAGCTTCCAAGAAGTAAGTCCTAGGACAGCTGGAATTGTGTAGCCTGTGATCTGCAGGGGTCTAGGGAATGCCATTCACATGTCAATGGTGCTCCCTAGTGTTCCTGAGAGTATAACCTCTAATCTGGTCAGTCCAGATTAGAGGGGGCCCATGTTTAGTATGATAAGCCAATTATTTCCATCTACTTTGCTGCCACTAAAGCCTCACTCATAGCCCTTTCCTAATTACAATGCCCAGACACTCCCTGAAGCCACTTGGCTCATACTAACAGGTTTTCAATGTGGACAAACTCTTTACATCAGCGGTTCTCAACCTATGGGTCACGACCCCTTTGGAGGTCGACCGACCCTTTCACAGGGGTCGCCTAAGACCATCAGAAAACACGTATGTAATTACATATTGTTTTTGTGATTAATCACTATGCTTTAATTATGTTCAATTTGTAACAATGAAATTGGGGGTCACCACAACATGAGGAACTGTATTAAAGGGTCGCGGCATTAGGAAGGTTGAGAACCACTGCTTTAGATGATCTTAAAATGAGAGCAAGGCTGTTCCCTGGGGGCAACGATAAATCCTCTTAGTTCCCTTCGTGACAGATGACATAAAAACGGGCCTTGCTCTCCCTAGGAGGGTTCTGCTTTTCACCATCTGTGCACCTACACTGAGGGGCCAGTGTAAAGGTGAATTTCCATTCACTTCCTGCTGGCATCTGGCTCCTTCTTTTGGGCTCCCCTTGAATTGTTTGCCAGACCAGCCAATTAGTCCCCTCACCCTTCCTGAAGCTTCCCAGGAAGCAATATCACAACAGGCAACCCCTTCATTATGCCACTTCTTCTGAGCACTGTGATTCTAAGTGCCCTCAGTTGGAGAGAAGCTAATTTGCACATGACTCTTTAACCCTCCTTTGAAAGACTTCAGTCTCACACACACACACACACCATCAACAATCTAACCCAAGATAGGAAAAAAGGTGAGCATATGTGGCATTCAAGAATAATTTAATAGTGAGACATAGTTTCAGATGGACTGTAGTTTAAAGAGATCACTATTTATTTATTTTTTAAAAATGTACTTTTATTGATTTAAGAGAGGAAGGGAGAGGGAGAAAGAGATAGAAACATCAATGATGAGAGAAAACCTTTGATCAGCTGCCTCTTGCACACCCGACACTGAGAATCGGGCCCAAAACCTGGGCATGTGCCCTGACCGGGAATCAAATCCTGACTTCCTGGTTCATAGGTCGATGCTGAACCACTGAGCCACGCAGGCAGGGCAAGAGATCACTATTTAAATACAATATGGAAGGAAAACACAGGGACTATATTTTCTGATCCTCATTGCAGGACATAATACAGACTTTTTCCTAATTTATGAATTTGTTAAGATGGAAGAAATCATATAAGGCTATAAAATAAAATTATATTAAGTTAGACATTTCACAAATGACCTTTGTTAGAAAAGAGTATCATTGCGTTGGCAGGATCCTTTGTGCCCGCAAACCCAGGATGAATGGTGACCTTCCAGGTGAGGCCAAGGAGATGTCCCAGTTCTATTCATGGAAACATCAGCCTTGTAACTTGTACTAGGGTTCTTCACCTTTAAACATTTTTGTCTAATGCCCAAAGCACACATGTTTATTCAGAGCACCCATTTGAATAGGTTTACTTCTCTGATTCCTGAGTGAAGTGTCCATAGGCTGGACAGAGTGGTCGGCTGTTTCAACTCCCTGGACCATGGGAGCAATGGAGAGATGTCTGGAGGGTAAAGGCATTTGTGGGTCAGGCTGTGTGCATGGAGGGACAGACACATTGTGTTCCCCCACTTCTCTGCTGTTGTCACCACAGCTTCTCTGCTGTTGTCACCACAGCTGCTCTGCATCCCGTGCACATGAGCGAGTGGAAGGGAAAGGCGGAACTCTGCTTGATGGTTGGAGTGGCAGGTGGCAGGTCAGGCCTGGACACAGGATACACCTCACTGGGGACAACCTCCAACCTGAGGCAAGCTCATTTTCACCTAAATAATCACAGGACTGTTGTACTTCAGGGAGTTTAATATAAGCAAGGCACTTAGACCGGGGCCTCATATATGGAATGCAATACCTAAAGGTCAGAGGCTATCATTTGCATCTTCAGTGTCTTGAGCGTGCGCACACACACACACACACACACGCACACACTCCATACATGTCTGGTAAGTAGATTTAAAACTCTGTGCCACCTTGGCAGCTCACACTGTCTCAGGAAGACCTTCCTCTTGGTTCATTCTTTATCTTTGTCTTGGTTCATTCTTTATAAAAAGGCAGTACTCGCTCAACACCTGACCCCTCGATCTGGAACAAAAGGGACAACCCTTGTGACTGTGTTTAAAGTGGGGAAGCTCCTGGCTTTGTGGTGAGCTGCAAAAAGAATTAATGAGGCTGGAAGCAGCTGGATAATCAAAGTGCCACAGTTCACTGCATGGAGGAAGCAGTTGTCTCCAAAAATGCGGTTGCACCAGATTTTACGCACAATAAGGAGGTTGGTCCCGTGGAGAGGAGAGAGGCAAGGGCTCCTCTGAGGAGGAACTAACTCCTTCTATAAGTCAGGAAACCTCAAAGCTCTCAGTGGCCCAGGGGAAGCCCAGCCCCTCCCCACAGTGATTCTTTTGCTCCCTTGGAACCCGGAACCCGGAAACTCAAGCCCAATTGGGCACCTTTTTGGTGTGCCTTTCCTTACCTTCCTCCCCAGTAATTTCACAAGACACTCCTTCATGCCCGGCGACCTCCTTCCCCATTGTTTCACAGCCTGGCAGCTTCGGCCAGTTCTCCCTGGTAAGCCCTGCCCTAACATGCAACCTGTTCTGTCGACCAAAGACTCATTTCATTTCCACACCTGTCTTTCTAGGGCCCTGTAATTGTGAAACCTTTCTTTTGAAACTCAATTAAAACTGTGCAATCAGGCTTGTACACCAGTCTTGTCCAGGGGCTCCATTTTTTCTTTTAGTTTTCAATTACAGTTGACATTCAATATTATTTTGTATTAGTTCCAGGTGTACAGCATAGTGTCAGAAGCCCTCCATTTTTGAAGAGACAAAAGTAAGTTGCTGGGGACTGACTGACCGTTTAGTGGGTACGGAGGTTCTCTTCGGGGGTAATGAAAGAAAGCGTTTTGGAACTGAATTGAGGTAGCGGTTGCGCAGTATTGTGAATGTACTAAATGCTACTGAATCGTACACTTCAAAGTGGTTGACTTTATGTTATGTGAATTTCACCTCAATCAAATCATGAAATATTGGCCCAGATTCTCAGGTAAATAGATCTGGGTAAATGGTGTACATGGAGGAAAGGGGAGCCAGCCAGGGAGCCAGTGGGGCTTGCCCTCCTCACACCTACAGTTCAGGGACCGAGGGGGCAGTGGAACCACAGAGAATGCGCCCAGCTGCACATCTGGCAGACGTGTTCCGATGGTGCAAAAGGGCTGGGCAGGCTCATCACTGAGGCACCCACTTGCCATGGAGCTCAGGCTCCCTGAAGGTTTCATTTTTATTGCAGGGCACATTTCTTTTTTTGTGTGAAGAGTCTCTTTGGCGACAACTTGCCATTCAGGTTCTCTGCCTTAAATTGTCCATCCCATAAGCAAACACTGCTCAGTCGGACAACCAGCCCTTGAAGGGTTGAAAGGCTAACTACCAAATAGAGGAGCCAGCATTCAGGGAGGGTTGGTTTCCTTTCACTTCTGCCTTCTGTTGAAGCTTCTAGAGGCACCTTGCACCCGGGTCAGAGGAAATGCAGGGTGCCTCATTTAATTTGAATTTCAGATAAGGGAAAAGTACTTTTTAAGCATATGTATATCTGATGCATTATTTGGGACATAATTATATTAAAATGTGTTCATTGTTTATTTGAAATGTAAGGGACATGCTCTCTCTTTATTTGCTAAGTCTGGCAATCCTATGAAGAGATCTCTGAAATTCTTATCGATAGGATTACAAAGGACAGACAGGTTGGAAGTTCGGATAACAAGTAGATGGTCTCCTCTGGGGCATTCCATCGGCCTTGTCCCTGCCACTACTCAGTCTCCCAAACGATTGTGCAGCTTCCAATATCGCAAGCCTCAAGTGTGTAACAGATGGCTCTGGGCCTGGCTTTGTTTGCTGATACCCTCCGGGTGGCAAAAGTAGTCCCTATGATTTATACCAGGTGGGAAACAGCATTGTACCTTCCAAGTAGAAACAGGGTGATCGGATGGAGTGGAATGGGATCAAGCTCAACCCACTGAGCCACCCTCGCCTTAAGTAGAGAGCTGTGCCGCAGAACCCATTTCTGGTAAAAACAAACAAACAAACAAAACACGCATCCCAGAGAGTAGCTAGAAGATGGCCATTCTGGATTTTTCTACTGCTTTTGTCCTACTGGGTTATTTTAGGGCAAGGAGAGTTATGTGAGGAAGTCTAACCGCAGTGGAAAGGACTTTTATAAATAGTTAACTCACACACCTGATTATGTTCCCCTGGCTGCAGGCTGGACAACCATGATTTTTCTTTAGTTTCTTTTTTAAAATTGAAGTACAATTAACACACATTATTATGTCAGTTTCAGGTGTACAACACAATGATTCAATAGTTGTATATTTTATGAAATGATATCACCATAAGGCTAGTTAACATTCATCACCACACATAGTTACAATAAATTTTTTCTTCTGATGAGAACTTTTAAGATTTATTCTCTTAGCAACTTTCAAATATGCAATACAGTATTATTAACTATAATCATCATGTTGTATATTATATCCCATGGCTTACTTTATAACTGAGAGTTTGTACCTTTTGACCCCCTTGAACCAATTTTGTATCCCCACCCCCACCCCAGCAACTACCTTCTGTTTTCTGTATTTAGGAGATCAGTTTGTTGGCTTGTGGGTTTTTTTTTTTTTTTGCTTTGTTTTTTTAGATTCCACATATAAGTGAGATCATACAGTATTTGTCTTTTTCTATCTGGCTTACTTCACTTAGCATAATGCCCTCAAAGTCTACCCACATTGTCACAAATGGCAAGATTCTATTATTTTTTATAGCTGGGTACTATTTAATGTATATACACCACATTTTCTTTATCCATTCATCCACTGATGGACACTTAGGTTGTTTCCATATCTTGGCTATTGTAAATAATGCTGCAATGAACATGGGTGTATATATGTATATAATTATATTTATATAATCTCTTTGAGCTAGTGTTTTCATTTTCTTTGGGTAAATACCTAAAAGTGGGATTGCTGGATCATACGGTAGTTCTATTTTTAATTTTTGGAGAGACCTCCATTCTGTTTTCCATAGTGGCTATTCCAATTTACATTTTCACCAACAGTGCACAGGGTTTGATTTTCTCCCCATCCTCACAAACACTTGCTATTTCTCGTCCTTTTTTTTTTTTTTTTTCCTGCAAAAAGCTTTATTCTTTCATTTGGTCCAATGCATGGGAGAGGGCTTCAGGGTGGTTAAAAGAATAGCTAGGTCCTGGATTGTTTGGTTCAGTGGATAGAGCGTCGGCCTGTGGACTGAAGGGTCCCGGGTTCAATTCCGGTCAAAGGCACATGCCTGGGTTATGGGCTCGATCCTAAGCAGGAGGGTGTTCAGGAGGCAGCCATCAATGATTCTCTCTCATCATTGGTGTTTCTATCTCTCTCCCTCTCCATTCCTCTCTGAAATCAATAAAAATATATTTAAAAAGAAAGAAAGAATGGCTAGTAGTTTCGGGCAGAGGCTCAGGTAAAAGCCATACACCAGGGGAATGCAGAGGGGCCTCTCATTGGCTCTGGACTCCAAAGGCTCCTGGCCATGCTTGAGGGTGAGCCTTTCGAAGAGATACTTGCCCACCCCAGCCTGGGGCTGGCCAGCCTGCGGAGGTTAGTCAGGTGGTCGCCCATTTCCTTGATGAGTTTCACCTCCTCATCCAGGAAGTGGTTCTCCCGGAAGTCATAGAGATGAGGGTCTGCGCAGGAAGAACCCAGGCCTGCAGCTCCAAAAGAGCCTGGTTCAGGTTCCTCTCCAAGGCCAGGGCAGCTTCCATGGTGTCCTCGGTTTTGCCCCACTCATCTTGGGAGGCTTCAGCACATTCTGGAAGAGAATGCGGCCAGGCCACCATGCTTGTTTTGCATCTTTAAGAGATGCTCAGCGCCCTTGTGCTTCTCCGCCAACTCGAGGAATAAGTGGCCCACACCCCCAGAACCACAACATCAAGGCTGAAATAGAAGCCCAGAGAGAGGTAGGTGTAGGAGGCCCGCAGAGGCAGGTTGGCCAGGCAGTTGACCGCAGCCTCCACCTCAGTGGAATACTTCTGATGAATTTGGGAGCTCATGGTTGTTTGGCAATAAGGAGTTAAGGTAGAAAAAAACAAACCAGTGTGTTGGCTGGTCCCAGAGGTTGTTCTGAAGGTGGTGACTGGATAAGACACAGGAGGGTGGCCAGAAGGGTCTGTTCCATCCAAACACTGTTGAAGCAAGAGACAGATCCAGGACCGCCGAGGGCACTGCCTATTTCTTGTCTCTTTGATTATAGCAATTCTAACAGGTGTGAGATGATATCTTATTGTGGTCTTGATTTGCATTTCCCTGATGATTAGTGATGTTGAACATCTTTTCATGTACCTGTTGGCCATCTCTATGTCTTTGGAAAAATAAAATATCTTTTCAGATCCTCTGCCCATTTAAAAAATCAGATTGTTTGCTTTTGCTATTGACTTCTATGAGATTTTTAATATACTATTTTGAATATTAATCCCATATCAGCTCTATGATTTGCAAGTATCACATCCATTTAGTAGGTTGCCTTTTCAATTTGTTGATGGTTTCCTTTGCTGTGCAGAAGCTTTTTAGATTGATGTAGTCCGGCTTGCTTATTTTTTTCTTTTGTTGCCTTTATTTTTGGTGTCAAATCAAAAAAATTATCACCAAGACTGATGTCTAGGGGCTTACTGCCTATGTTCTCTTCTAGGCATTTTATGGTTTTAGGTCTTAATATTCAAGTCTTCAATCTACTTTGGGTTAATGTTTGTGTATGGTGTAAGAAAATGGTCCAGTTTTTTCAACACCAATTATCTAAGAGATTGTCTTTTCCTCCATTGAATGTTCTTAGCTCCTCTCTCATAAATTAACTAACTATATATGTGTGAGTTTATTTCTGGACTCTCTTTTCTATTCCAGTGATCTGTGTCTGTTTTTATGCCAAATACCATGCTGTTTTGATTACAAAGCCATGCGGCTTTGTAATATATTTTGAAGTCAGGGAGCATGATGCCTTCAGCTTTGTTCTTTTTGTCAAGATTGCTTTGGCTATTTGGGGTCTTTTGTGGTTTCATACAGAGTTTAGGAGTGTTCTATTTCTGTAAAAACTGCTGTAGGAATTTTGGTAGGGCTTGAATTGAATCTGTAGGTTGCTTTGGGTAATATGGGCATCTTAAAACAGTATTAATTCTTTCAATCCAGGAGCACAGAATATCTTTCCACTTATTTATTTGTGTTTTCTCCTATGTCTTTCATTGAAGTTTTATAGTTTTCAGTGTTCAAGTCTTTCACCTCCTTGATTAAATTTATTTCTAGGTTTTTTTGGGGGATGGGGGGTGCATGGACAACCATTACTAATGCCCACTTGTTTCACCTAAGTCCTAGACTCAAGTACTGACCAATAGAGAGCAAAGAACTCTCTGTCGACTTCTAACCCCAGGAAATGATTGGCAAGACTGGCAACAAAAAGCACTCTTCCACTTCATCAGGTCCACCATTCAGCACCTTCGCTTCATTTGCTTGAAGACCGAAGGAAGTAAAAAGAGGAAAAAGACTTGACCCTCATGGTGGGACTCAGCCATGCCCATCCTACCCTGCAACGTTCAAACAGCTCAGCTATGGGCTGGGGTAACAGCCTTGTCGTGGACGTCTCCCTGGTGGAGGCAGTCTGCCAGACCCCCTGAAACACACAATGCTTTGGCTCCCTCTCAAAAACACCAACACTCATTGCTGACAATGTCCCCACCTTCCACCCGTCCCTACCCACCCCTTCCTGGAAAATGTGATGGAGGAGCGGGAGTGGGCCAA